TTGTTTATCTTCAAGCCTATAGGACCCCAGATTCTATACCTTTTGATAGTCAGGCACCATCAGAGAAACTTTTTTAAATGCCTACCTGAGTAACTTTACCATCCCTTTGATTAATCAGCTGTTCATCACATTCAAAGGCAGTGGGAATCAATAGGTATGATTTATTTCCAGCAAAGTCTTACTGGCTCCCATTGTCCAGAAATTATCTCTTTATTACTCATTTTAAAATCCTGCCAGCAATAATTAACCAACTGACCAAAAATAACAAAGTCAATATACTGTGGTTATGATAATATATTTAACTCTCCGTCTTTGCATGCTGTATGCTCTTATATGAAACAATTAGGTTTCTGGAGGGTAACTTGTCATAATAGGAAAAGTACAGATAATCTGCACCAGGGTCCTAGGTTCAATGACTGTGAGCTTTACCACAAGTTGAGTAAATTAGGCTCAGTGACAACATGTCTGAGCTTTTGGTTCCTCCTATGTAAAATGTTTACTTTGAAAGTCAAAAACAAGGCTCCAGGAATAGGTGGGATACCGAGTGAACTGCTTCAACAAGCTGACAGAGCACTGGAAGCACTCACTCGTCTACACCACGAAATATGGAAGACAGCTCCCTGACCAGATGACTGAAAAAGAGCCACATCTGAAAACATTCCAAAGAAAAGTGATCCAGCAGAGTAAGAAAATTATTCAACATCCTTAATACTACACGCAAGTCAAATTTTGCTGCGGATAATTAAAAACTGATTATAGCAGTACATCATCAGGTAACTCTCAGAAATTCAGGCCAAATTTAAAAGAGGATATGGAACAAAAAGGTATCAGATGGATTCTGGCTGGAAGCAGGGAATACCAGAAAGATGTTTACTTGTGTTTTGTTGACTATACAAAGCATTTGACTTTGTGGACCTAAGAAGCTATGGATAACATGGAGAAGAACTGGCATTCTGGAACACTTGACTCTGCCATTGAAGACCTGTACATAGTCGAAGAGACGGTCGTTCAAACAGAACAAGGAAATACTGTGTGATTTAATTTCAGGAAATGTGGGAGTCAGGACTATATCCTTTCGCCATACTGATTCAATATGCATGCTGAATGAATAATACCCCGAAAGCTGGACTATGTGAGGAAGAATGCCTAATAAGGGTCGGAGGATTATTAGCAAGCTGCGATATGCAGCTATCATAACCTGC